TCGAGGTACTTCCATTCGTGAAATATTCTTTAACTCCACATCCTCTTTAGATCTCACAGTGCATATGCATATGCAGATTGGGCAGGTGATCCAGACACTTGACATTCTACTACAGGATATTGTGTGTTTCTTGGGTCATCATTAATATCATGGAAGAGCAAGAAACATGACATTGTTTCCAAGTCAAGCATTGAAGCTAATTATCGTGCTATGTCATATGTTGTTAGTGAGATTGTTTAGGTTCGTGCTCTTCTCAATGAGTTTGGTATCTCTATTTCAAATCCTACACATTTATATGCAGATAACTAAAGTGCAATTAACATTACATCTAATCCAGTTTTTCATAAGCGAACAAAACATATTAATGTAGATTGTCATTATGTTCATTATCGTTATCTTGATGATATATTATGTCTCTCTTATGTTTCTTCTACTGCGCAAATAGTTGCTATTTTCACCAAATCTATTACTTGGAGCCACCATGATTTTCTAGTGGACAAGCTAATGCTTTACTCATGCCCGCATCAGCTTGAAGGGGGTAATATTGTGTATATAAAAATAAAATATAGAATTTTTAGTTGTTCTTTATTGTCATTGTATATTTATGTACGGATACTGTGGTCAATACTCAATTTGTATATGTATATAAACCCTTTTAGGGTTTCATTCCTTGTTAATAAGAATTGATCGAGATTGTTTCGGTCTAGACTGTTCCTGAGCTCTTCATCTTCTCTAAATCTAATAGGTACATAATCAACAATATCAATGTGAGCCATGCTCATGAAGAAAACTTTGTTTTTTATTTATGTTTTCTCTTATTGAATGCAAGTTCTTAGAGATTATGAAAATATTAGGATAGATAAGAAACATGAGATGATGGGTATACAAAAGAAGTGGGCTATATGTAAAGATTAGAGGGAAAAAGAACAGAGGTTTTCTCTGTTCTTTGTGACGTTGTTTTATACTTCATAAGCAGACATGGAAGTGGTCCTTTATCACTTTATAAGAAGATGTGGATGTGATCAATGTATTTGTATATAATAGTGGTTTAAAAAATAGATCGAGCGCCCCAAAAATTCATTCGGATTGGAAATCGGCCGGATTCGGCCTTAAAAAAATTCAAAAAATTATTAAAAATCATTATAAATGTTGTTTTTTAGGAGTCAAATAAGAAATGAGGGTACTACATTAATAAGTTCTATTTTTTTGCATCAATATATGAATATTGAGATGTTCTTTCTAGGTATGAAGATTCTCATCAAACATTTATTAAAACCTAACTAAATACAATATTATATATTGAAATTAGAATTATTGGTTTGTATTTTATTATTTTATCATCATTTTACTATACAAATAAGAATAAATTTGAAATTTGTCTTATAATATCATCTAATTTAAAATTTTAATTTACAACTATAAAAAAAATAATACATTGTATAATTTATAATGTAAATAAATTAATAAATAAAATATAAGATTTGTTTATCATTGTAATTAGTATAATTATTAATTATAATATTTTAATAAACATGATTCAAAAAACAAAGGTATAACCCTCACAAATAAATAAATCTAATGTATAATAGTTAGTGTTGATAGAAATATAGAATTTAGTAACATAAATTTGCAATCATATTTTAATAAAATTAAAAAAATAAATAAAAAATTTCATATTTGCAATGTGGGATAATCGATAAAGCAACTTAAAATAAATTCCTATATTGAATAGTCTCACATCAAAGATATGTGCACGCTACAAGATAAGCCCATTGTTTTAAACCTCCCTTTGCTTTAGGGATAGCCAATAGTCCCACATCGAAGATTTTTAGAAGGCAAAATCAATATAAAAGGGCTTTAACATGGCTAGAGGGAAAAAGCCTGACGCGAATGAGGCGTCGTGTAGCCATGATGAGGTTGGCCCCCAGTGGGAAGGGATGGGGGGTATACTCAAGGATTTTTTAAATAAAAAAAAGGTAAAATCTACAGAGTTGTTGTACCAACGTGGTGTGGCATGCTTTACTCTAGGATTTTTCAAATAAAAAAACACATGATGTGTGAGGATTTTTTACATGCCGTAAAAAACGGCCAAGTCTTGTTTTATGGCTGATACCCGAGCCGGAAAAGTCAAGTCTATAGAGTTGGTATTTGAAAAAAAAGAGTCAAATCTACAGAGTTTGCTTTACCCACATGGTGTGTGAGGATTTTTCACATGTCGTAAAAAATAGCCAAGTTCTGTTCTATGGCCGATACCGAGCCGAACTGCCCGATTTTTGATCAGATCACCGATTGGTATGTAAGGAATGTACTTGATTATGAATTGTGATTGGTATGAATGAATTTGAAGTGATGGTGATTGTGACATAGATGATACATCTATTCGTGATAGATATGAATGAATTTGAAGTGATAGGTGATGTGACATAAATGATACATTCATAAATGGAAACAGATTTATATACAACTACTTTCATTCGACATCCAATAATACAAATAATAAATCAGTAAAAATAAGAATAAAACAAATAATGATCAATAGGATTTTGATGATTAATTCCCCCTTCCCCCTCTCTCTCTCTCATTTTCATTTTGCATGCGATTTTGGTTTTTCATTGTTCAATTTCAATATTCTACATGTTGATTCCTATGTCCTTAACTGCATTTGTTTATATTCTACATGCTGATTTCTCTGTCCTTAACTGTATTTCCATGGTCCCCCTTCTGATATCAGTGAAGCGTAGAGGAACAACGGTCCAGGGAAAATTTCCAGAGAACTTATGGGCCTTTCCTACTCTCTCTTGTGACAAACTAAAGGACCCAAATCTTGGACCTCCTTCTATGTCCCTTGGTGTCAGGTAGGTGATTTCAACATCAATAGATGGAGCCACATGAAGAATAGCCACGATCGGATTATAGCAAGCATGTTATGCTTTTCAAAATTTGTATACCGTATAATCTAATCGAACTGCCCATTATGAGGCCTTTTTTACTTGGTCGAATAATGTGATATCTCCCATCCTATCTAAGATAGACATATTCCTCACTTCCACGAATTAAAAAAAATTGTTCCCTGGGGTTCATTCTAGAACCCTGCCTAAAGGAATACCGGATCATATGCCAATGCTGCTAGACGCTATCCCCATCCAAGTGGTAGTAGTACCTTTAGATTTGAGAGAAGATGGTGGGAAGAGTACCAACTTGTATGGGATGTTACCTTGTGGTCATCCTTTCAAGTCTATGGATAGGCTTACTTCAAATTGCACAAATATGACATCTTGAGTTTCATTCTTACCACAGGTAGATAGCTTTTTTTTTGCTAAACTGTCCAAAAAAAAGTTGCACAAAAAGTTATAAATGCTTAGCGCCAAATTGAAAGAATGGAGAACTGATCCTTGTGATCAACTCTCAAGACCTCTAGGAGGAAATTAGTGACATAACAGAAGCTGAAAAAGCTAGGAGATAAAGAATCAAAAGGGTAGTTCCATGAAATCCTCATGCAAAAAGATATTAAGGTCACAAGTTAAGTGGCTTAAATATTATGATAACAGTACTACTAACTTCTTGTACAAAATAGCAAATAGTAGAGAAAGGGTAAAGAAAAAAGTAATCAGATTTTTATGGAACCTGCCCAAGTGGAAGCACTCATGCCAATCATTTTAGTAGTAAGATTCAAGATCTACATAGTATTACAATGGTTAACACCTTAACCAATCAAGTCCAAGCCTGACTTCAATTAGCATGTAACTTTTATTTTTGATAAAAGTTAGAGAAGCTAACAAAAGTGGAACAAAAGTAAGAAAGAAACTAAAAATGCTAGAGAGTGTGATCTCTCTTAGGATATTTTGAATGAAAACAAGACAAATCAAGCATGACAGTTCAACAACGGTAAACACTCGGACACAACGGTCAATTTATTTAAACCAACGTACATGCCTGATATTGGAATGCTACACAAGCAGCATTCCAATGGTTAAGATTTCTCAAGGCCATATCTAACGTGCAAAAATTAATCTCATATTCTATATTTTGTTTATCTTTTTATTTGAATAAGATATTTATCTAAATTTTTTATGAAGGTGTGCTATTATAAATAGAACTAAATAAAAATGATTCAAAAATATTTTAAACATAATATAGCTGAAGTAACCCCAAAATTTATTTTGACTAATACTTCTTATTCAAAATATTTGTTATTATTTTTATACAATTCTACTTATAAAAATGAAGCACCCAAATTTCGTATTGATATCTGTTTTAATAAAAAATTAAAAATAGAAAACGAAATTCAATTGGATGAGGCTAGTTCAATCTAAACCATTACGAGGTACGTGTGTACTTTTTAGGCGTCCATCGCAGGTGGACACAATGCCAACCTTTTAAAGTCTATAGTAACACATAAATTAGAATGACAAACAATGTGTCGCTTTTTCAAAAATTAAAATAAATGAGGAATATAAACCTTTAACTGTGTTGTTTTTATTTTTCCTTTTTCAAAAAAACAAAGTTCTAAAAAAAATTTTATGGGCTTCATGATTCACCTTAAGTTATTTAATTTGAAATTTAATGAATGAGAATAATTGTGACCTCCTTGTATAAAAAGTAAACAGTGTCTTTGTAGATAATCCCTTGTCAAAATGTTACCATGGATATATACTTTTAGCTCATTATGTTTTGATACATTTCTTTTAGCTCATTATTTTTTTGATACATTTTTTATGAGTAAGATGACTCACATATATATATATATATATATATACAGATTCTCTTCATGCATAGACATGATTCAAGTGTTCATAGTTATGCTCAATCAACACTACTTTTGAATATTTATATTCTATAAATAAAGATGAAAATAAAATTTCAAAGCATCACAAAAATTTCTCATATTGAATAATATATTTTATGTTAACTTCATCAAAAATATATATTTCGATAATATTTGAAGGTGCACTTTACTTTTAGGGCCTCAGCCTTATACATCCACTCCAAAAAATAAATGGTATCTTTGTAGAGAATCCCATATATTATACTCTAAACAGTGATCGCTGCGCAGCTGGTCCGGTCTCCAGGCTGTTGTTCTTTATCCTTCAAGCGATGAAGGCTTGGTTTTTTAACAAGATTTATTAGGGTTTTTAGTGATCTCACTAGAGAGAGTTGTATCTCTGTCATATTGTCTGAGGCAATTGGGTTAGAGAGAGAGGCCTAGCTGTGTTATAAGGCTGTGCGGTGATTGGGGTTGTGAGAAGTAGGGCTTTGCATTAATGGCGGAAAACGAGTCAAACAAGGACGAACTTGCAGAGTCTGTGAACGAGCTCTTTGTGAATGTCTCCACCATGATAAAAGGCGAGCTTCAGGTTCATTTCTCTCTACACATGCAATTCTTTGCAATTACGACTTTTGGATCTTAGCATTTTTATGTTTAGTTTTAGGGTTTTGATCTGGTGTGCAATTCTTCCGTTTTGAAAATTCCTTGCTTTATGTGTCTTCTTTGAATTGTATCTTTAATTTATCGATAGAAGATGATATGTGTTTATCAAACAGAACAAGGTTGTGACGTTAGAGTTGGGATTCGGCTTTCATGGTTTCCGCTTGATTTCTTCTCATGTAATTCAAAGTTTGCTCTTGTTTTCCTTGTCTTTTTCGGTTTGATCCCCTCTTCTTGTTGCTTCAGTATCAGCGACAAAAGTTCTTAGAAATGGCAGGAAAAAAAGTGGCCAATTCAATTTCTTATCCGGATAAAACAAATAAAACAAATAAAAAAAGAGAGAGAAAAGGTGGAAAGCACAACAAGTGGCTACTGTCAAGGAGAAGAGATAGAGTCAGGCTTTTCCCTAAGCCGCACACTTCAAAATTTAGTGAGATATGCATTCTACCTCAAATGCCACTATCTGTAAGGGCGATATCAACCTTGTTCTGTTCAATGGATCCATTCTTAGGCCAATTACATTCCATTTAAAGAGCTTGATTTAGATGGAGAGAATGATATAATGTTTGTAGCACAACATTGTAATGCATAAAAGCTGTGATGTATAAAAGCATATTCTTATTGGTAAATAAATTTAGGGAAGAGTTTTTGGATAAAAGTTCAAATAGAGGAGAAATAAAAGCTAAAAAAACATTTTACTCAGTTTTTTTATAGAAGAAAACAAGAATGCGGGAGATTGCAAATAAGGTACTTGTTAAAAAAATTTAATCACCATAAAGTAATAAATAGAGAGCATTTTAGTAAAAAAGAAATGATGGAAAGTTATCAAAGTTGGAAAAGTTTGCTTAGTGTCTGTTGTTGATGGAAGTTAATTGTACCAAGATTATATTACTCAGTCTACAACGAGCATATTCTGTATAATACTATTTTATTAGTTGTTTGGCAGGTATCACTATATACACAAGCCTATCTGCATATTGTGCTATATGTTGTTTGGATGAGTCAACTTGACACCAAATTGGCATCAATTCTTATTCCTGTAATTAGATATGTAGACTCCTAAGATTTCGTCTTCACACCCCTCCCCCCCTCCCTCCCTCCTTCCCTCCTCTTAAACCTTCAAAAATTGATATGAATGGATCATTTGGTCCCATAAACACCAACAACAAAATCACAGAAACCAAAATTCTTGAATTCCCTCAGAAAACTCTGTATAATTTGTGAAATTCCCCTTATCGTTCTGGTTCTAAATGGCATGGGTTATAGAATCATCTCGATATATGAAAACATCATCAATGTTTATTCCATTGTGTCCTGATTCTTCACCTCTAGATGAAATCCTCAGCTCGTAATACATCCATACCAAAACGAACTTCAAATTACAGAGAAACACCACAATATAGATGACTTAGTTAGAGAAACAGAGAGCACTGCAACTCAAAATCCATTGTCACATGATTCTGTCTTTTATGAAACCGGCAATATAGGCATATAGATGCTGTTTCTTCTGGGATTAGCATACCCAACTACATCACAACTACATCAAATTAGACTAAAGCCAGTTAAACAAGTGAACAAATACAGGTTTTTCATCGACTTAGAGACAATCACATACTTAAGCAGAGATCCATATTTAAGCCAAAATGCTGGTTAGGTGCAACATATGGAAATAGACCACCTTGATATCAGCTGCCTAACAAGAAGATAAAAGAATGATCACAAAGTAAATATGCAAATACCAAAAGAGAACAAAGTGAGAAAGAATGAGAAGGAGCTCTATGGCCATCCCCCCCCCACAAAAAAAAAGAAAACCATCCTCCTTCTCTTAAAAAAAGTTACACCCAAAGGAAGCAATCCTTTGGTGCCAAGTTTCCTGTTATCCAGATGTTACATGCTGGCCAAATAGAGAAGGCAAATGAAATTGCATTATGAGGCGAAATGTGTCATAACAAGTATATAAAAAACGGATGCAGGAATCAGTTTCCAAAAAAAAAAAAGGACAAAAAAAGGGAGATGGATTGTCAAAATTTCATCTACATCTAGTGTTTCAGAACCCTGTAAAACCATTCATTACATAGGGCACAGGCATTGTCAAAATTGATATTTTTCCTATGAGAAATTCTACCGCTTTTAGTCCCTTCCCTTATCTGAGAGCTTAATTAAGCCATTAATGGAGGAGAGCTCAATTAAGCTATTAATGGCGACTTAGGTGAAGTTGCAGGCATTTGTAATAGTGGATATTAGGTTGTAATGGTGGTTTCCAGGGTTTCCATGGGTGGCGAGAGCTTGGATCATTAGGGAGGATAGTTCTAAGAGAGAAGGAGGAGGGGGGGTGGGGGGGGAACAGAGAGAGAGATCTTCTCTGCCTTAGCATACACTATAATCCCAGATCTATAGACAGATAAAGAACTCACTCTGCCCTGATACATGAGAGAGAGAGAGAGAGCACGTGAGAGGTTTTTTCAGTTGAATGAAAGAGGACCTTTTCTTTTCACTCCACTTGAAAAATTAGTGTGTCATTATTTAGTCTGAAGATCAAATGCATTTTTCAATGATATAGCCTTATATGACAAATGGTGCAGAAGCCTATGTCAAATATCTTCACGGACAAACCACTGAACAACATATAAGTGATTGGAAAAACTTAATCAAAGCTTAGTAGGATTATCTTGTGCATACAAACATGCCCTTATATGAGTTCCAATGTGAAAATGGCGATGATTTTAATGCAAATTGGTGGAGTTATTGTCAAAACTCTAAATACTCTGCTTTTGATATTCCCTTCAACCAGTATGACAATTTGATGTCAAGCAAAGCTTCAATCTTAGAAATCACTGGCTATTATGTTTGATACTTGAAAATGAATCTTAGTCATATTTTTCTGCTGTACTAGCTGGCGTTTGTATGAGAACCCCAATTGTTGTATTAATTTATATGAAAGTTTACAATGGGTTAGTTAGTCCTTGTGCATATAATTTTTACAATGGGCTATGTACATAAATACATTGCTATATTGTTCTTATTTCATTCAAGACCTATTGCAAATATTTATTTCCCATCTTTCATAAATGACTTTTTCAGTTTCATTCCTTGGTGAAATGTTTTTTGCTTTGGGTATTTCAATCTTTCCTTGACATCCTTCTTTGTGTCTTTTGAATTTGTTTTGATGATCTTCCGTTGCTATCGGTTTTTATCTTGTGACTCAAATTAGAGTGGTGAGAGAAGCACTATATGTCTTGTCTAGGATCTTGTTGTTGAACTTCTTTTGAAACCAAATTGTAAGGGGGATTTTGATGTTTGAGCACACTATGGCTCCAACCTGGAATCTATACATGATTTCTCTCAAATTGTCACCCACGATGGAACACGTAACGAAGGCATTATCGTGGTTTTCAATTTCAGCTTTATATAGAGGCATCTATTGCACTAATGATAAGCTCATTTCTGCATTCTATAGGCGGTTGATAGCCTCTTTTGATAAGCTACCATTGTGAACCATGAGGCTCTCTAGTGGCTTTTCTCATATAGTCTCAAGTGTTTTGTGCTTTTGTTTTTATCCAAATGCTCTCTAACAAATCCATAGGTGGTTTTTGAGGTTATTTCTCCATGTTTGTTAGGAACCATATGAGTTGATCTTTATCCCCACTTTTCTGATTGGAGGCCTTTTCTGGTCTTTACTTCCAAGCTTGCAGTCTCCTCCCACTTATAGGAAGGAGAAGTCACCTTGTAATTCCCTCCCAAAATTTGGAGATGTTACGGATCTTCCAAGGTTTAATCCCCTTACAATTTTTCCCCCATGCATCTCTCACAAGGACCCTTCATTGGTCATGGATCAACCAAAATTTTAGTTTTATACAATATATGAGTTCTTTTTAGACTTTTACCAGCCTAGGGGAATAGGCATCCAAACAAGTTCAAATGTACCCTGGCTAGATCTTCCAAGGTTGAATGACCTTATGATTTCTTCCTCATGCATCTCACATAAGGACACCCTTCATTGGTCATGGACCAAACAAAATTTTAGTTGTATCCAGTATATGAGTTCTTTTTAGATTTTTAGGAGCCTAGGGGAATAGGTAATCGAAACAAGTTTGAATGTACAAAGGTGGTTATATGGGATCCTATCCAAAATTGTCTTGAGGGTGGGAAAAAAAAGAGGAGGGAATATTTATGGACAAAGGTGGTTATATGGGATCCTATCCAAAATTGGTAAGATAAGTTCATCTAGGAGATTTGGATTGACTTCTATTTTGGAAAGGATAGCCACTTGGAGACCGAATCACGGAAGTGGGGACAACTATATAAAGATGTTATAAAGAGAGAAAAGCATAAAGATTTTCTTGGTGAGAAGATATTGCTACGTACCATTTAGAAAGGAACACAATAAAGATCTGAGCCTTGCTCTCTACTTACTCTCTCGGTAGAAACCTTGCAAAAGTAGAAACCCTTTTCTGAGGAAGTGAGGATTCTCATGCTATCTTCCAAGAGATAGACCTAAGGTTTTTGGGCATTGAACTCTCAATTGTCAAGGGAGCACCTTCGCACAAAAGAAAGGAGACCCACATTAAATGCAATCAAATCTACAAAAAGTGTGTAACCTTCTTCAGATCTTTTTATGTATTTTTGTTTTTCCTTCTGAGCTGGGACTCTTCCACGGGTTCCAACATTGGTAACATAGACCTTAATGGAGGTTCACCTCCTGGGTCTGGTTACTGTGTGGATTGCCCTCTTGATTGTTTCTCTTGCTTCGGTGGTTAGCTCCTTGCCACATTTGCTTCCAAGAATTAATGAGGATTGCATCAAGCATCCATGTTGACCACTCCTTGCCGCACGTCATGTGTTTTAGTGGCCATAGCGAGGAGTTGGGAGAATCTTGATCCCTGGATCTCGGAAATATCTTGGAAAGTCACATGAAAGTAGGTCACACCT